TCCAGTGTCCAGCGGTATTACCTGCTGCAGAGGGAGAAGCAGTGACCGGTCCGCTGTCCAGCGGTACTACCTGCTGCAAGGGGAGAAGCAGTGACCGGTCCAGTGTCCAGCGGTATTACCTGCTGCAGAGGGAGAAGCAGTGACCGGTCCAGTGTCCAGCGGTATTACCTGCTGCAGAGGGAGAAGCAGCACCCGGGGAAGCGGTAGGTCCAGTCCAGCCCCTCCTCCTCTCCCTCGCAGCTGAAGACCCTGTCCTTGTGCTTCTCCGAGGAGATGTGCTGCTGCCACTGTCTCTCGCTGTTGCTGTGCTTCCCGCACAGGCGGCAGTGGAAACCGTTCTGCAGGGGCAGGCGAGACGGGCCCGTGAGACCCCCCTGACCGGCCGACCACCCTGCCCCCACCCCCCCCTAACGCCGCCGCCGGCCCGGACGCTCACCATCGGCTCGGCGTAGTCCGTCGGCATGGTGATCTGCTTCTCCTCGGGGGGCGGGGTGATCAGGGTGCCGTCCGGCCGCCGGTTCTGATTGGTCAGCGAGAGCCACATGTCGTACATCTGCTGCATGTCTCTCACTGAGGTGGGGGGAGAGGGAGAGAGAGAGAGAGGTGAACGCGCTCAGTTATCGACTGGTGAGGGCTGGGGTGCACGCGGCGTCGCCACGGTGATTGCTCGCAGACCCGCAAGGGCGGCGAACAGGCGGGACCATGAGCCCCGGCGCCGCCAGGGGTGACCGGGTTGCCGAGTGCTGCCGGATTCTGCTCTGGCCGGGGCTCGGGGGGAGGTTCTTCTTCAGGCGATCCCAGATTTCCAGTGGCTGTGCTTCGATCCGGTTCAGGGGCGCAGGGGAGCCAGAGCCTATCCCAGCAAGCAACGGGCACAAGGCGGGACACACCCTGGACCCGTGCGACCCCGGGGAGAACATGCAGACTCCACACAGACAGCACCCCCAGGAGTTGGACCCGGGGCCCCAGCTCTGCGAGGCAGCAATGCTAACCAGTGGCACCCTGCTGCCAACAAAATGAACACGCGTACGTCTAAATACTTCCATTCATAAACAACTTGTTCATTTTCGTTGAATTTTTAGAACCGTATTTCTGAACAAGGTGGAATTTGTAGCGAACGAGCGAAGCTGGCGGCTGGGTAAGGATCCAGCTGTGCTCACGCTGGACACATCTGGACAGCTGTGACCTCCACTAGAGACTAATACTAGAGAACACTTGAGACGAAGGGGGCACCTCCTGCCTGCCTCCTGCTCTCAAAAACAGTTCTGACCGAGACTGGGACAGTTCTGCACCGGATCGTCCCAGACTGACTGAGACTGGTCCAGTACCGGGACAGTTCTGCACCGGATCGTCCCAGACTGACTGAGACTAGTCCAGTACTGGGACAGCTCTGCAGCGGGCCGTCCCAGACTGACCGGGACTGGTCCAGTACCGGGACAGCTCTGCCCCAGTTCTGCGCGGCGAGACGACAGATGAAAAGGGGACTGACAGCTGTTGTTCTTCATGTAGGTCCAGACGTCCCTCTCCTCGGGGCTGTGCGCGAAGGAGCAGTTCCCAATGTAGTGGCACTTCTTCTGCTTCACCACGTGCACACACATCTGCAGGGGGACAGAGCGCCATCAGCACGGGCCGCACAGACACACACGCACAGACCACAGGCCGCACAGACACACACGCACAGACCACAGGCCGCGCAGACACACACGCACAGACCACAGGCCGCGCAGAC